TAGGGAAAACAACTTCCCACAACTAGTTTCTTCCATCTTTCACCTGATAATATTTTAAATATGTGAAAATAGTTACGAATGACCTTACTTTTCTCTCTGTCAAAGTAATATCAAAAATTTTCCAGCCTGGCGTGGTGCCTCACACCTGTAATCCCAGCACTTTGGGAGGCTGAGGCAGGCAGATCACCCAAAGTCAGGAGTTCCAGACCAGCCTGGCCAACATAGTAAAATCCCATCTCTACTAAAAATGCTAAAAATTAGCTGGGTGTGGTGGCGGGTGCCTGTAATCCCAGCTACTCCAGAGGGTGAGGCAGGAGAATTGCTTGAACCCAGGAGGGGGAGGTTGCAGTGAGCTGAGATCTCACCACCACACTTCAGCCTGGGCAACTGAGTGAGACTCCATCTCAGGAAAAAAAAAAAAATTCCAAATAGTCCTGAAAGATCATAGGTACCAGATCCATCCCCACAGATACATAGCAATTCCTCAAGAGCCCACTTAAACTATCAAAAAACTGAAGTCATGATTCTGGATATGGGATTCCTGGGCAAACAGAGGATGGGAGGAATCTTATTAATAAGATTCAGGCTGAGCATCGCATGGGAGCACTCATCGCGTATGAGCCTGCTCTTACCCAAACTCCCAAGTTCCCTGCCTGTATACTATGAACTCAGAACTTCCTGTCATCATATACGTTGAAATTATTTTTACTCTGAGAAAAATTTTACATTAATTTTGATTATATTCGTTTGTTTGGCCTATCATGAGAATTTGAGATCCTGAATCCATCATCCAATATTATTTTCACTCTTTCAACTAGAATCATTATTATGCCCTAATTGAAGATAGGAATAAAAATTTTTGATTCAGAAACACCATTTCTGAATAGGACTTACAAATACCCATCTCATAACAATATTAAACAGAAACAAAATGGATCCAAACTCACATGGTGTCTTGTGAAACTTTATTAGTTCTTTGTGAAAATACATTTCCTAAGTTACTTATGATGAATATGCTGCAGTATCTGCTCTGTATATCATCAAGTCAATTCATGGTTTTGGACAGCTAGCTTCTTTTCCTGTTGTGTGAACAATCACACTAGATATGAGTTTCCCTCTAGGGTTCTTCCTTTCCATAATGTCTCACCAAGAACACGGCCAGTAACTCAGCAGTGTGATTTTTAGTCCCCTCAGCTGGTTCAGATGAATTCTCCTGGGCAGGAGACACAACTTCATTGAGAACTCTGAAGTTCTCTTTTATAAGCTTCTTAGCTTTGGAGGGTGCCAGTTTCTGATTTTAAAAATGTCCACCTATAATCCCAGCACTTTGGGAGTCTAAGGTGGGAGGATTGCTTGAGCCTAGGAGTTCCAGACCAGCCTGGGCAATTTAGGAAGACCCAGCTTCTGAATGAAAAAACAAAACAAAACAAAACAAAAACTGAATAATCATCCATTTTCATACCAGCTTCAAGAATGAATTTGGTTCTTGTTTTAAGCATAATTGAGGCAGCCTTCTTGGGGTTCCTAACACTTCACATCATTTCCAATTTGTGATGGATTTGTTTCTCAAGACACTCTCTTTAAAAATGCATTTCATTCTCTTCAATATGTCCTGGGACAGTTGTTTTGCTTGAAAATTGAATTTCTTGTAGCAAATCTGGTGTAGCTGTTTCTGTTTCTTTGGGTAATTTCCCATTTTTTCCCGATTGGGTGATTTGTTGTTGTTGTTGTTGTTGTTTTTCTTTTTTTCTTTTTTGAGAGGCGGGTCTCGCTCTGTCGCCCAGGCTGGAGTGCAGTGGCACGATCTTGGCTCACTGCAAGCTCCACCTCCTGGGTTCACACCATTCTCCTGCCTCAGCCTCCCAAGTAGCTGGGATTACAGGCGCCACCACCACACCCGGCTAATTTTTTGTATTTTTAGTAGAGACGGGGTTTCACCATGTTAGCTAGGATGGTCTTGATCTCCTGACCTCGTGATCCGCCCGCCTCGGCCTCCCAAAGTGCTGGGATTACAGGCGTGAGCCATAGTGCCAGGCCTGGTTTTTTATCGTCATAGTTTTGGGGGATGTTTTGTTTCGTCAAGGGGTCATCTTTTTTAGTGTTAAAGTCATGATTATATAGATTGTTTTCAGAATTTAAAGAAATATATCCTTACCAACTGCCTCTGTAGTACCAGTCACTTCCCTACTACAACTATCTCGTTTACCCCGGCATGGGGTTTACTCCAGATGAACCTGAAGGTTATTCAAGGACATTTAGCTTGGTGGAAACCCAGAGTGATTTTCAAAAGGGCCATAGTCATGGAAACAGGGAAGGGGTTAATTCAATAACAAGTTAAGAGATGGAAGAAAAGCAATAGCAAGACTGATAGGCGAGAGCACATCACCATCCTGGCAGTACAGGATGAAGGACACAATTAACCAGACAGAACTAAGGCACAAAGACCCTTGCACCTGCCCCTTGCATGCACCTCCAGATGGTACTAATCCAGGTTCCAGAGCTCATTTCGCTTCTAGTTAACACAACACACTCTTCCTTATTGGTCTAGATTAGCATGATAGTATTCTCGGTTTTACCATGTTGGGCAAATTCTTCACTTCTCTATGCTTTCTTTCTTATCTGCAGGTCAAAGGAATAAGCACTTACTGTATGTTCTAATCAGATAAATCTCACAAATGCCATGTGCATTTTAACTCATCAATAAATATCATCATTTATAATCACTCTCTCCAAATATGGCACCTAGTTGATATTTGGATTATGGAGGTATCCAATTGCTACTCTATTAAATATTTGTGTACATTTAGGATTGCAGCCTCTGTTCCCTTCATCTATCCTAGAGTCATATAATCTACTCAAGCAGTATCATCTCTGTTCTCCTATCTTTTTACTCACTCATCCCTATTTTCCTCTGAGTCTCACATACAACTTTATGGTTTCTTGTGGACATACATTTTTGCCGAGTTCCACATGGTGTCACCCCCCCAAAAAAGATGCCTTTGGTAAAGGGATGTGCTTCATTACCATGCTTCACACATTATGAATCTCAACCCTTCCAGTTACAGTGGTAGCTGCAAAACTATATTTATTAACTTTCAAAATGCTTGTGCTAAACGAATTACCCATGGTTTATCCATTAGTATTTACACATTTATGTGTCATTTCTAATCTTTTTTGTATTTTTTCCCTTTAACTACTCTATATCTCTTCCAATTTTATTATTCCTTATATGCTGTATCAACTATCTACAACACAAACGTTTTATACATTATAACCTGGGCATTTCTTTTCTTCCTTATTTTCCTCTGAGCAAATAGACTCATTTATAAGCAAATCATCTTTCAAAAGCTTCTAAAATGTATTGCATAGCACTGAGGCATGTTTGGGGGCATCTCCAGGCAGCCAGCTATTCAACATGTATCCCATCCTTTCTACTCCAAAGCCTTAACTTTCAGACAGAGGAATAACACAAGATAGATAAAGGCTTATCAGGGATCAATAAGCCCCAAGCTGACCCATCATTTAACAGTTATGTAAACCGAATGTGTCACTTAAACTCCCAAAGCAACAATGAAGGCCTTTCCTGCATCCTGAATTGGTAATGACCAAAAGGATGAGATTAGGGATGTTTGTAAGCAGTAGAGCAACAATCAAGTGTAAGTTGCTATTAATTTTTATGTTTACAATTACTAACAGAGATGTGGTACATACTGTTAGACATAAGTGTCTTGGACCACCTAGTTCCCTCCTGGTAGGACTTGATTCCTCGAGAGGACCAAGCTCCAGACAGAAGAGCTAGTCCACACCAAAGCTGCCTAAAGGAGAGTGCTGTTCCATAGCCACCCAATTTCAGAAGGATATTTAGGAATGCATGGAAACTCCCAGAAGGACTTGTGACTCTCTGCATGAAGAAGCATACATAGTCGAAGGAAATGTCATCGTCTACTGAAAACTGTAATGAGGACATCCAAGGACAGACACATCTACACACACTCATATATATAACTGTGTTCAATAATATATAATGCACGAAATATATTCAATAATACACTAGAGAGAGCGAGAAAGAGTGAAGAAACCAAGCGGCATTCATGTAAGTCCTGCAGTAATTTTAAATAAGTAGCTAATGTTTCACAGACAAGTGTGACAACCTCTTTTTGGTGGCTGGTTTTTCTCTAGGGTCACTACCTTCCTTTCATCCTGTTTCTTCAGATTCTCCCAAATGAAAAGAAGAACAGGTTTTGCTATTTGAAGTTTACTGGGCCTGGCTTAGTTCCTGAAGTGATCCTAGCCCATGAGATTCAGAAGCTTAAAGCTTCCAGTTTCTATGGCTTCGAGTGATTTAAAAAAAAAAAAAGAAGAAGAAGAAGAACATGGAGAAGGTTCAGAAGAACCAAAGGCAGGTAAGGTATTTTACAAATGACCAGGAGACCTACTAAGATCACTCTTTAGTAACAGTGGTGCTTTAAACAGCTTATTCAAGATTTTTCATACATTGATTCAAAGCATCTTCCAGTGGAATCATTTTTCAATCCATTTTTAAAATTATGCAGAATATTTTAAGTTATAAAAAAAGAAGATCAAATTATTGTAGACATGGAACATTTTAAATAATTCACTGTACTTATGTCAATTTGGATGAATATAACTTCAATTCATTGACATAATTAAAGAATTTTAAAAAACATAAAATGTACAATATTTTTGAAATTCATTTTTGTGTGTCCTAAAATCATCATGGCATTTGAGTGTAGGTATGTTCCCAGCACTCTTGTAAGATTGCCTCTGTGGCACGTAAGACAATATATTTCATTTATTGCTCGGATTAAAAACAAATCCCTGTAGATACCCAAAGAAAAAAATTACTTTCGGAAGTGCAGCATTTCGACCCTAGGTAGGATTTAAGGCATTATAGCAAGAAGTCATATGTGTTACACAGCTGTAATCTATTTCTAAGGTTTATTCGAATTAAGTAAGTGCCAGAACATAGATGAATTTACCCAGACATCGAGTTTCGGTGCCACTCCAGAGCCCATTTGCCAAGCACTCTCTGACATGAGATCCCACAAGTGTGTAGCCAGTGTTGCACGTAAATATAGCTGTGGCCCCATAAACTGTCAGCGTTCCAATCTTGTTGCCATTTGGGGGAAAGGAAAGACTTCCACACGAGATAACTAGAAGGAAAAAAACAATAAAGTGAACATCAATTCGGTTATGCAGATTACTCCTGTGCAAAACAAAAACAAACAAAAAACACTATTTTTAGTCTTAATTTTCACTAAGAACATGGTGGAGAGGTGTCTGCTTAGGGCTGGATAGACCAGTCACCTAAGAACCTTAATTTTCCATCTTTATACTCCTGAAACAAAAACCTAAAAGCTCAAAGTGGATTCCAAAACATTCTAGATTCTCCAATTACCCATTCATTTTTGTTGTTGCTGTTGAGATGGAGTCTTACTCTGTTGACCAGGTTGGAGTGCAGTGGTGCTATCCTGGCTCACTGCTACCTCTGCCTCCCAGGTTCAAGTGATTCTCCTGCCTCAGCCTCCTGAGTAGCTGCGACTACAGGCGCCCGCCACCATGCCTGGCTAATTTTTGTATTTTTAGTAGAGATAGTGTTTTCCCATGTTGGCCAGACTGATCTCAAACTCCTGACCTCAAGTGATCTGCCCACCCCGGCCACCCAAAGTGCTGGGATTACAGGCATGAGCCACTGTGCCTCAACCCATTAATGTTTTTATTTTCATCCTGATAGGTATAGCTGAACCCTTCTTGAAAAAATACACAGTATACAAAGTGTAAATGCAGAAGTGTATTTATCAGTCTATCTCTCTACCTTTCTGTCCATATCAATCCCAAGAATTACATAGTAGTAATTACTAGAAGCCTCATGAGCCTATCAGGAAATAAGGAATACCAATTTTCTTTACCAAAGCCAACCAGCTGGGATAAAGTAGTGTGATATTCAAATCTAGGACTTCTGACTGCAATAGCAGTGCTCAGTTCGTTCTTTTAGTTACTTGCATAATTTGTGGGGATCATGAGCTCTGTAAGAATGCTGACTACAAAGGGCATTTGGTGCCTTTCCATAAATTAAAATGTGCATACAAACTAGGCCTTAAGTGGGCATCGATGCAGTGACCCTATGCCCCATGTTTACACCTGCTGTCCCAGCACAGTTATTGATTGTGTCCTTTTTCACCCATGAAAGTACTCCAGTTTGGGAAATAAGTTAATGGTCACCCTTATTATACAGTCTTACTATACCACTGAAATCTCGGCTCTTCAGATCCATAAACGCTTGAGCACAGAAGATCACAGCATCTCAGGGGAGGGAGGAACTCACAAGGTTATCCAGCCCAACCTATCATCAGAGGTGGAATACGTTTTAAACAGGTAAGAATGAAAGTGTTCGAAAAGCTATTCAAAGCAAGTGTTAAGAGTGCGACGTGAGCACTGATGTGTAGGTGCTTCGCTGCGGCCTGCAGTGGCAAACATTGAGTCCTTCCTTATTCACAGTAAACCATAAGAAGCAGTAAAACACAGTGAGGAAGAACACAGATTCTGGCTGCAGGCTACCCAGGGTCAGGCCTGGTTCTGCCAGACATGAGCCAGGCAGCACTGGCCAATTTTCTAAGTCTCTGGGCCCTGTTATGGGTTGATACAGCTCCTATTGCACAGGCTTGTGCATTAGATTCAAACAGAAGCCATCCCTTGCACATAAGCAGGCTCAATCAGGGTTAACAATGAAATTATAAATCAGGACATATTCAGTCAATTGAATCAAAAGTAGAAAAACCTTTAGAGATAATTCAAGTGAGGAAAATAAAATCACGCATGTACCACTAAGACCAGCCCTTTTGTTGTTGTTAATGGAGAGAGTCTTGCTCTGTCGCTCAGGCTAGGGTGCAGTGGTACAGCTGTAGCCCCAGCAGCAGCCCTGACCTCCTGGGTTCAAGAGATCCTTCTGCTCAGCCTCCCAAGTAGCTTGGGGCATGGGCACCACCACGCTCAGCCATTTAAAAAAAAATTTTTGTAGAGGTGAGGGTCTCACTGTGTTGTCCAGGCTTGTCTGGAACTCCTGGGCTCAAGTGACCCCTCCCACCTGGGCCTTCCCAAAAGCCCCAGACCTTTTAATGATATGATAGCACAACCCAGGCTCTATTGCAAATGTTCAAACAGACACAGCCAGACTCAGTGTTTTCTATGGGGGGCTCTACCAGAAATTGGGAGGTCCAGCTCGAGAGTCCATCACGACCAGCACATTACTGTTACGGAGACAGCCTCCATGGTTGATATGGTTTATTGGTTTTGGTGATTGCTAAACTATTACAGTGTCATACCGCATGCATTTAGTAATATGCTAATATGTTTGCTCCACCAAATGTCAATGAATTCCAGTAGGATTTAGATTTTTACAATTTGTTATGAACTTTTCATTAAGCCTTTTCCCAAACAGTGTGAACTTCTCCTTGAACTATGATATTTAAAGATCCATTTTTAGCAACTTAAGATAATTGGATCTTGTCTTGAAACTTTCATGCTTGTCAGAAAAACGTTAAATAACAATGAGGTCTGAGTCGAATTCCTCTTGGAGGTTTCTGCACACCTTCGCCTTCCATGGTAGAGCAGCAAGAACACCTCCCTCTGCTCGTACAGCTGTTTCTATTCTTGAAGCCTCTGTTAAAAACACTCTGGTGACAAAACTATTTTAAGTGTGTCCTCTAACAAGATGTACTCAATTGTAAAGAAGAAGTAATGAAGCAAAATTTTAGCTTTTCAGTAGCTAAACAATAGAATTTCAGACCAAGGGTTTCCTTGTATGGTAGTAAACTCAATGCATTAATACAGATAGCAGCAATAACTCGGAAATCTTGCCTGATTGAAAGGGGGAAGCCCCTCACTACTAAAAACAGGCTTTGTCATACACCGAAGGGAAAGCCTTATTTTTATGTTGTTTTTCCTCTCAAGTTTCTAAAAATGAATTTCTTAAGTCTGCCTTTTTTTCCATTTCATTAAGTGTGTCCATGCTCACAGTCTGCTGTGCTTCCTCTGAACTCTGGGAGCAAGTCTTCGCACACAAAAGACACTTGGCTGACAGCATCCCGAATGCACCTGCAATCCCACAACATCCCGAATGCACCTGCAATCCCACAACATCCCGAATGCACCTGCAATCCCACAACATCCCGAATG